CCCCCCCCCTCTCTCTCTCTCTCTCTCTCTCTCTCCGTGGTTTCAGGGGTTAGCCCATCTGGTTCAATCAGGATTCAAGCTCGTGATCTGTTCATCAGCAGTTACATATGTGTACCATTCGGCCACACTGGCTGGGCATTGCAGTCCCATTCCATTCTGGGAGAGGGAAATAAATGGGGAAGCGAACAAAAAAAAAAAAGAGGGGAAGTGATCACAACTGATGCAAGACATACAAAACAGTTGTTCTGGTCCTTGCGGCTCCCATGCACAATGCAGACTTGTATCTACAATTTCGGCGAACAATACAGTTATAGACTTATAGTACTTAATACTACTCGTAAAAGATCCTGCTCACTGGTATAGTATAAAAAGTAGTAAAAAGTAAAAAAAAATAAAAAACCTAATGGAGAATGTGAAAATTTCTGACCAGAGGTCATGCCATTTATGACGTCAACAAAGTCGACTCGGTAAGCGCTCCTCATTTGCTCAGAATCCTCAGATCATGTGGTGTGCTACAAATCTGAAGGTTTTGCTTTGCAAAAAGGACATGTCCATTTTCGCAGACGCTCACCCGCTGTGTTATACCTTCATTGACTCTGCAATTCCGAAATGCTGGAACAGATTATTCTCCGGTTTTGCGGCAAAAGTACCCCCCTCCTGTGACTATGTTTGCAAAAGACACTTTTCTGGTTTGTGGTCACCCTCTTGCTTTCGTTTTTTTTTTTTTTTTTTTTTTTTTTTTTTTTTTTTTTTTTCGGTCACCCTCTTGCTTTTTTTTTTTTTTTTCTGCCAATTTTGAATTTTCTGGAAGTATTTCTACGAAATAGAGTGCTAACTAAATAATACTGCAAACAAAATCAAATCCAGTCCCAAAGCTGGCAATTCCAGTGCATTGCTTCGCATCGGACTAGAACGTAACGCGCGCATCCATTTGCAGTGTCTCCCAGCGGAAAATAGTAGATACTAGAAAGTGCTAGAAGCTGAGAAAAACTTCAAAAAAGCCAATGAACAAGCAATTTGAGTGCAGTACGTTGCACTAAAAAGCAGCTGGGAAAGAAGTGAAGAATGGTGGATAACGCACAACCTGACAGCTGCAAATCTCACCTCCCAAAGTGTCCCTTCTCTCCCGTAAACACAAGAGCGGGTGACAATCTGCAGATGGGTTGTTTTAATGGACAAGGACAAAGTGACCGGTTCTCAGGCACGGGAAGTTTTGTTTTCCTTCACTTTACAGATGACGAAGATGACGGTGGGCACGTCATTTGGAATGTGAGATGTGGGTATGAATGAGAAGGATATGATATTATGATGCAGATCATTTGATGCGCATGATATGAGTGATGTGGATGTGATGCAGCTCTGGATGTCAATATGATTCTAATTATATCGATATGGATGTCGATAGCGATTCCCTTGGTGACAGTCATTGCTGGGACACAATAAGTAAGATGATCAATCAGTTGGGAAAATTGTGTGAAAAAAGACCACATGCACAGGTGGACCCATGCCGGATAATGGCGGCCAAAAGCAAACCAGATTGGCCACAAAATGAAATGAGACAAAACTGGGTGATGGATAACAAGAGCTCGGTATTGGGTTGAGTTGGGCCTCAGTGAAATCCCATGCTTGTGAAAAGGTTTTCCAAGGAAACTTTCTTCTCTTCGTTGACACCAAGCATGCGCATAAGCGTGACAACCTCCTGCTCGGCTAGGCACAGGCCGAGCTCCAGGAAAGCAGCATGTGCCTCTGTCACTGACAAGTGACTGCAAAGCCAGCAACAAACATACCACAACCCCCCCCCCCCCCCCCCCC